TGGCTAGCTAGGAGCAGAGCAGCAGGGCAGCTCAGTGAACAGACAGACAGACAGATGGAAGGTTTAAAATAAGCCTCAGTCGCCTCCTCATTGCAATGGAGGCCATGCAGTGCTTTGAAGCAAAATGAAACCGCAGCTTACGGAGCACAAGCACTGCTGCCTTCCTGTGAAATCACCCGAGTGATGTTTAAATCTTGTCCCCTGAGTTTACAGCAAAACAGCTGATTTATGGTCTCTCTTTCAGGCATTTGCTAGCAATGAATTTCTCTTGTTTGGTGCTCACTGCATAAGACAGAACACAACTATTGATTTCTGAGAATGAAAAAAACAGGCCGCACTGCTCGTTATACATAATGAATGTGGCTGACGCACCGCCCAGCCAGCCGTGCTGAGCAGGAGTCTGCCCGCGAGGAGCCTCTGTTCCTGGGAAAGGCCCCGGGAAGCTCCCCTGCCCTGCCCGCTCTGGGGCATTCTGGCCTTGCCCCAGCCGAGCACTGCCCCCCGACCCGGCCCTGTGGAGGCAGGAACTCGGCCATGGGAGCGTGAGAGGTGGAGGGCCCTCGTGGCAGGCAAAAGACACGGGAATCATGGCGTGGACTCCGCACAGGCAGCCCCAAAGTCAGAGTCTCCATTAGTCCTCCATCTGGGCAAGGCATAGTGTGCTGGCCTTCAGTCATGGGCACATATTCCACATTTCGTGCACAAAACTTCCATCAGAGAAAGTTTTCCATGCAGAGCATTTTTAGAAATAAGACCTAAGAAGAGCATTCCATGCCCTCCAATTATAGCAGCGTTTCGGGGAGATTTGCAGCTGAGTCAGCTAGAGCCGGGAGGAGCCTGGCATACCAGGACTTGCCGCTTACCGTGGGACTGGTCAGTGGGGAAGAAGGAACAGACCTCGTCTGGCCTGGAACATTTGTATGGCCTCCTTGAACATTTTCGCCCTGGAAGCAGAACTCACAGAACTAAAGCTGCCATGCTTGGAACACGTCGTGAGAAGGCAAGACTGGCTGGGGAAGACAATCACGCTGGAGAAGAGGAAGGCAGGTGAGGAAGGGGAAGGCCAAAGGTGAGGTGGAGGGACGCCACAAAGCGAGCCACTGGCTTGAATGCACGAGGGCTGAGCCAGGCTGCCTAGAAGAAGGCGTTTTGGAGGGCTGTCATTCAAAGGGGTGCCATAGGTCAGACGTGACTTGACAGCACAGAACACATAACCAATGCATCAATTTTCACCTGTAGTTATATCATATACGACCAAAATGGCATAGGAAGCAGTGGGTAAAAGCTAGGAAACTAACTAGAATAATTGAACATCTAAAACAAATAGCACGATTTCAGCAATCAGTACAGCCACAACGAAGCAGAGCCAGAAGTTAACTGGCAAATTGCCAAGCAGTTAAGCTGAGGTTTATCTGCATTAATCCACCCCAAATGCTTTTTGGAAAAATGGCCTGAATAGAAAAGCCGCCCATGAGGCCGCCAGCATCCTCAGCACATGGCAATGACTGTGCAAACCTTCCCGAACTCAGGACATTCTGTGACACCCCAAACACTCCTCTGGAAGCGAGCCAAGATGGGAGTCCCCCAACCAGAGTGGCCTGTTACAGGATGGGGCACCGCTGTGCGTTGGTGTCACCCAGCTCTTTCCTTGCACTCCATCACCACGGCCAGTGGGATTCTGGCGAGGCCCAGATTTTTATTTCAGGCTGGGCAATCTCCTACCTGGACTGTGGGACATAACCTGCCTAGACTTTAGTGAAGCCTTTGACAAAGTGATTACCAAACTAGCAAAAAGCGGGCTGGATGGTGCACGCATTCGGTGAATCCACAGCATCGGGATCACAGAGTGCTCGTCAGCGGCACCTTCTCGAACCGGGGAGGGCGCTGCGGGGTTCCGTCCTGGGACCGGGACCCTCCCGCGCGTGTTCGTGATTTAGAGCAGGACCAGCGAGGAAAGACAGTCAAATATGCAGCCGGCACGACGCTGGGCGGAGCAGCGGCGCCCGGGGGCGGCGGGGAGCTCTCGGCTGGTCAAAGCGGCCGAAGGGAGCCCGGAGGGCCAAGGGCAGCGGGGGGCTAAAGCAGCGGGGAAGCCGGCGAGCCCGCGCAAGGCGAGCCGCCAGGGGTGCCGCGCGCGCGTTCTGCGCCCCGCGCCCCTGCGGAGGCAGCCCCAGCCCCCCACGCGCCCCCGCCACTGCGCAGCCGCGCACGGGCCTCGCCTCTGCCGGAGAATCAGGGCACGGGGCGGGGGCCGCACGCAGCAGCCAAGAGGGGAGCCCCCGGCAGGGCGGGGGGGGGGTGGCGCACGCCGCCTGATGGGCTCCCGAGCCACGCGCGCCCCCTGCCGGACTCTCCTGCGCACGGCGCGCTTGCCTGGCCGTGGGGGGTTCCGGGAGGGGGAAGCCCTTTGGGGGGGGGGGGGCGAGGGACCCCAGCGCCTGGGGCGAAAGGCCACGGGCATGGCGGCCTCCGCGGGGCTCCCAAGGGGTGAGGAGCGCTCGCTCTGGAGAGCGGGCCGAGCTCTCCCTGGCCTGCTCCGTAATCCTCCCAGCGATTGAGGCCTCCCTCGGTCCTGGGACTGAGGCCCTGCCCTGACCCTCCCTGGGGCCCCTTTCGCTCCACGTGCGTCCAAGGCAGCCCTCCGCAGGGATCCCTGCAAGCGCCGCGTGCGAATTTCCAGCGGCTGCAGGGAGGCGGTGGGCTGCTTTCCCTGTTGCCCATGGAAAGGCGTCGCTCAGCGGGGAGGCAGAGGCCGATTTCCTATGCCGCTTTCCCCGGGAGCTTTCCCCGCCTGAGCAAAACGGCCTAGGCCTGGCGGGCAAGGTGGCCGGAGCACCAGCTCTGGATAGAAATTGCCAAGCCCATCTGCGCGGAAGCAAGCAGCGCTCTCACTCCTTGGCCGCTGGAGCAGAAGCAACCTGGCCCCAGCTCCCGGAGAGACGCCTCTTCAGCCTGGATGCTGATCAAGCCCCAAGCAGGCAGGCAGCTGCCCTGGCTGGCCACCGGAAGCAGGAGCTCCAACTGCACCTGGATGAACCTGACGGCCACAGGAGGCGTGCGCTTTGCTCCTCCACCTGGCCCTTTGGCTGCTTTGGAGAGCCAACTGCCTGGGTGGTTTCAGGGGCACAAAAAGTGGGCCCCCTTCCAAGCAAAAAGCAGAACCACACGTCAGGGGCCGATGTCTCTTTTGGAGCGGCAGGATGCACTCTTGTGGGTGTGACGCAACTAGAGGGCCAGGTGCCTCTACTCCTCCCCTCTGCACACACGCACATCCCCAGGCTATGCCCCCTGAATCCGGGCATGTCCGTGCACTGCCTCTGCCCCACAGCTGCTCCAGTTGTGGGGCCTCTTTCTCCCCTTGGACTGAGACTTGCTCTCCTGGAGGGAGCAGCGAGACGTGGGGCCAGGGTTAGAGTTAGCCCCCAGTGGCAGCCGGCAAGGCTCACCCCGGCATACGCAAGAGCACCAACGGCCCAGGCCTGTGAAGCTGCAGAAACAGGCTGCCAGGGCAGGCCTGGCCTTGCCCAACGGGGCCTGGAGCCCTGGGGGAGGCTGGGGGTCCAAGCGCGCTCGCAGCTGGCTTCAGGTCTGCTCCCAGCAGCACCCATGCCCCTTTAGCCCCTTCGTGGAGCACGAGCCGCCTTCGAAGCAGCCTCCCGGGACCCTGGCCAAGCACACGCAGCAGAGTGGGCAGCCGAGGAAGGACTCCAGGGTGGCCGCCGCTAGAACCTGCGCAGCCAGGCTCCGCGAGAGGACTAACTTGCTGTGCCGACACATTTCTTGGTGTTGACACTGGAAATGCCCTGCTCTTGGGGCAGAGCCAGCTGCTCCCCAGCACTGTTGAACTGCACTTGATTTATTGTGCTATGTTGACTTACTTAATGAGGCCACTTTAAAAAACAAATTCATTTACAGAGATAGCTTCTTGCTCCTAAATTGCATTTTCCAGCTTTACTACCTAAGATGAGTTATTTCCCCCGATTTGCTCCACGCAACAATTACCAACCTCTTCTAGATAGTCCGTCTTTCTGCTCTGGACGAGCTCGAATGAGGTCTGGAAGCATCAGCTCTGGAGATGGATGTAGAGATTGAAGGTGCATGTGGATGCCCAGAGGCCCTCGGCAAACAGGAGGAATGCAAGCAGAGTCGGCCGGTTCTTCTGCAAATATGCAGGGAGTGCCAACAGCTGTGGCGCGCACACATTTGCAAATCCCCAGTCACAGGGAACAGCTTTAGGGCTCCAGTTTGCAGGAGGCCCCTGTGCCAAGGCTCTGGCTGCATCAGAAACGGTTCCACACTCCTCTTGAAGGCCCTTGGAGACTGGCATCCTTCTCCCCAAGTATGCATGGAAGGTTTGCAGGCAGGCCGCATGGACGGGTTGCGGCTCTGCATGGACCAAGGCAAAGCAAGGCTTCTCCCCAGTCCTGTCATCCGATTCCCCCTCTTGGCACTCCCCCTCCCCAAAGATGGATGGAGTTAATTTCTCTACTGCCCAAGCGCTCTACAGCACATTTTAAAACAGTACAGAAAGATCCACTGAAGAGCAGCATGAGGTGGAGGATCCTCCCTCCCTCCCTCCCTCCCTCCCTCCCTCCGACTTCTGGCATGCAGAGCACAAGTGCCATCACTGAGCCCCTGCCGCTTGTCTATCTCACCAGGAAGAGGGTCACAGCCCCACAACTCCCGCGGCACTGTACCTTGCAGAGATTTCGCTCCTGTACCCCAAAGAATCGACTGCAACCCCCATCAGCCACAGGAGCAGCCCCTCCCTGTCTTGACCCTGGTGGCGGGTAGCCAGCAGCCACCCAGAAATGCAACTGCTCATCTTTCCCTCTGCCCAGTTGTGCCGCTTGATGGGGTGGAGCTAACCTGTGTTTAAAGGGACTATCCAGACTGACGGGTGCCTCTTTGTGGGGAACACACACCCGGCCCCCCCAAATGACTCCCCTCTTGAAGGATCCTCTGGGCACAGCAGGCAATCACACTCCAGGCTCACCACGTGCTTCCAGGATCGTGCTTTATTTGGCCCATCCTTCCTCTCTCTGGATTTACACACACCCAAGAATGCACCTTGCTGGGACTGGCCACTCTCCTCAATGGCCTCACCTTTGTGCTGAGAGGCCATTCCAGCGGATGGCCCAGAGAACAGCTGCCCCTGCTGGGGCAAGAAACACAGGCCAGGCCAGGCCAGGGATGCAACTCGACACAACCACACCAGTGCTTCAACAGTCCAGACCAGAGTAGGAGGCCTCCTAGGAAGAATCCTCCATGTGCATCGTGTCCTGCAACTGCTGAACCATCTTCTCTTCCAGCTGTTTGGCTCCGCCTTAAGGGAAAAAAAACCAAAGGGAGCACTTTGAAGGAAACCGCTGGATGCAGTCCCATGTCACTAATCCTGCCAGCTGTCCTTAACTACCCAGTTAAGGCTGCTTGGAGCAGAAACCCTTCAAGATGTCGCCGGGTTCCACCCCCACGTGCCTCACCTGCGTGCGGAGCCCGGATGAGGTGGATGTTCTGCTTGACTTCCTGGACATCCTGTGCTTTCTGCAGCTCTTTGCCTTTCTTTAACCTGTGGAGGCAGGCGAAGGGCAGGGGTGATGAGCAGGAAAGAAAACACCTTCATTCCAAAAGCAAATGCTTAACGCGACATCACAGCAGCGGGAGATATTAAATGCACATAAACTTGATTGCAAGGAGAACTGCAATTTCACAAGCCACAACTACCGGAACAAGTAAACTCTTTTAATGAAACCAGAGAAAAGCGCACTGCACATACTTCCGACAATTGCACCCACGTAAGCCAAACTGATTCCCTTACTTGTGTTCTGCAAGTTCTTATTTGTGCATTTGCTTGTCAAAATGCTATGAGAACAAGTGGTCTGCTATTTTACAAGGAGCCAGCTACCCGGCGTGAGAGCTTTGAGAAGGCAGCGACTTTAGCAAGCATTTTTCGGTAGCAGCACTCAATCCAAAGCCACACTTCCTTTATTTTCAAAATGCCATGAGCATTAAATCTCCCACCAGCTGAGGTTTAAAAGAAAAAAATGACCCCCATACCTGGTCATGATGAATTTGGCTTGACGCTTTTGCTTGATCTCTTCTACCCTCTTCATGACATCCACTGAAAAGCAAATACATTTTCACATTAAAATTGGCAACTGTTCATTTATCACTTTTGACTGTTTCCACATTCAATTTCTAGCATTAAAAAGAGAGGGACTATAAAGAAGCTCAGAGAAAGAGGTATCTGACCATCAGTCTAATCCCACCTCAGCCATGAAGTCTCAGACAAAATGGCAGGAACCAAGGTTCTTGCACAAATCAGTAAAAGATACTCCACATTAACCGAGAATAATTACAACCTGTGCAAGGAGGACATTTCTGAGGACAAGAAAAACAATCCCCAGCACACTTTTTTGGACAGGAGCAAGAACCCAGTTCCACTGTCAGAACAGAGGGCTTCTGCTTGCACCATTTCAAAAAGCTGACGTGACAGTCAGGAAAACTAACATTTCACATTTTGTGAACTGTTGAGCTGTGGTGATAAAAAGCCAGCGTTACAATTATGATCTTCAGGTTTTCAGAAATCCTGCCCCTCCGCTGATACAAAGTTTACACACCTGTCTTATTCCATAGTTCACGCTGGTATTTCACTGGTTCATTTCTCCTTTTCTCAAATTCAAATGAGTTATCCTGCATGGATAAAGGCAGAGAACTTAGTAAGGCACATATTTCGAAGCCGCTCTCCCAAGTACTGCCCACCTTTTGCAACAAGTCCCTGCTGCTTAACATGCTTGCTTCCTCCTCAGCAGTGTGCACATGCGCCCCCATGCATGCGCATGGGAGGGGGTAGGGAAGCACCCCTTTCGCCTCCAAAACTCTCCCTGGACTGCACTGACTGCAATGAGGCAGACCGAAAGGGCCGGTGCTCACCATGCACACGCCCACAGCAAATCCACGCTTGCTTTAGCCCAGACACAGTGCAGACCATAAGGAATCCCCGGCAGGAACCCCCATGTGGAAGGCGAGGCAGGTCGTGGGCCATGACTGGGCACCAAAACACAAGCAGATGACTACGGCCAAGGCCCATCCAGCCCGGCATCCCGTTCTCAGTGATGACTCACCAGAGTCCTCCAGGAAGCCCACAAGCTGGATGTGAAGGTCTTGGCTCCACAGTGAGGGTCCTTCAGAAGCTCACTAGCCCTGAAGTGCAGTGCTCACATCATCATGAAAAGCCAGCTTCTTGCCCTCCTGCACCAATTTGGCCAATCTTTCTTTAAAGTAAACTGAGCTAGTGGCCCTCACAAGTTTTGTGGCACGCAACTGCATATTACCTGAAGGCCCTTCTTTTGTCTGCCTCAGCCGCTCTCCAAAGCTAGAGAGAGATGCTGCAAGTTCAAAGACATTGCCATGTCTCAAAGCGCTATGTCTTGTGTTTAAAGAACATGAGAAATGTGGTCATTTCAACTCTCCCAGACTTAGTCTGTGAACAGGACCTGAGCTCAGCGGTAGACCTAAAGGCACCTGGAGCTACACACTCACCACCGTCAATTCTTTTCCAGCTGCCTTCCGGAAGGCCTTGGTCCACCTGACCTTTCTGGGATTTCGCTTCTTTTTGAAGTTTTTGTGGCATTTTGATTTACAGAACCGAAACGTCTAACAGGAAGAGAGACACACAAAGTTTTCAAGAGATGAAGTGCTTTGTTTGAATCACAAGCAGAGCATCATGCCTACTTGGTCTCTACGAGTGGAGAAAAAGTGCTTAATTCAAGCTTAAATGGCTGTGCATCTTTTAGGCCCACAAACAGCATGCCTTTTCTTGATCAAGTTCTCTTGAAAAAATGACTATCCTCCTTTGGTGTGGAAAACCTTGACCAGCTTCTCAACAGAAAGAAACTTCAAGTAACATTGTGGCAGGTAGGTGACAGCTTTAGCCCTCAGTCTCATGCACCCAGGAGTACCCACCCACTTGGCTCTGCACTAGTTAGACCTCACCTCACATACTGTGTCCAATTCTGGACCCCACATTTTAAGAATAATTCAGATAAATTGGAATGAGTTCAGAGAAAGGCAACAAAGAAATTTAGCCTACAAAGAAAGATGGAAGGAACCAGGCATGTTCAGTCTTTAAAGGAGAAGATGGGCAGGGGGTATAACATGGCTCTTCAACTTCCTCAAAGGTTGCCACATACAAGAGGACCACAACCATCCAAGGCTGTTGGACCCAAAACAATGATTTAAGCTACAGGAAGGCCGATTTTGGGGGATCATTAGGAAAAGCTTCCCAGCCAGCTAATGCAACCAGCTGCTTAGGAAGATGGTGGACTCTGCTGGGGGAGGCATTCAAGCGACTTGTCAGGGATGCTTTCAACGCGACCCCTGCACCCAGCAGCGGGGCGGCGCAAGGGCCTCAGCAGTGCCTTCCACCGCCTGGTTTCCACGATTCACGGGCCCTCTGCCCACGGTCTGCTCCTCCAAGGCCAGGAGCTCCTGCCATCGTGTGGTGCGGACCCATCCTCAGGCCCCCCTGGATGCTCCTGGGGCCAGCGGGGGCGCCGAGAGGCGGCGGGGCCGACGCCCAAGGACACGCGAGCAGCCGCGGTTGAGGGCTCCGAGCCGGGCGCTGCCTCACCAGCCCCAGGGAGGGCTCGGCCTGTGCGCCGGCCCCGCCGACCTGTTGCCGCCAGGCGGAGGGACGCGCACGGGGCCCCGCCGGGCAGACAGGCGAGCTGGACGGGCGCCCGCGCGGCTCACCTTGCAGTCGTTGCGGACGAAGAGCATCCCGTGGCCCGGATAGACCGGCCCGGAGCAGAAATAGCACCGCTCCACGCGCATGATGGCGGCAGCAACAATGGCGGCCGGAGCGGAAGGGGCGGGAGCGCCGCCGGAAGTGCCGCGCTCGTTGTCCCGAAGGCGCCTAGAGCGTCCCGCCCCCCCCCCCCCCCCCGTTTTGGTTTATTCCAATCGCAGGCGCGGAGCTCGGTGCGCAGGTTGACGCCGAAGCGGAGCCGTGGCTGTCGGCCCGCCGTGCGGCCTCGGTTCTGCCGGTGTGTTTCCGAACAGCCACGACCCGCCCCGCTTTGCATAAAAGCTTTCTGCAATTCTTGATTCACTCTGTGCAACTTCCTGGTCCCAGGTATAAAAACGTCAGAGGCACCAGCAGTTACTATAATTAGTTTTTAATAAAGTTCTCTTGTTAGGGCAGCAAAAACTGTTTTTTTAATACAGCTCTGTAAATACATAGAATGTGCAGGCCAAACAATGTGGCCGTTTTGGCCTTTAGTAGCAAATCTAAAGCACCTCCAGACAAAAGGAAAGGCGCTGTTGCATTTGGGCGCCAAGGCACACGTTCGTCAAAGCCCGCTTTAGATTTTAGCAGGACTGACCATGAAGCACGCAGGGCCCAGTGCGGAAGGAAGTCAATCTGGCCCTCACTGATCTCGTCAGACCGCCTATGGTGGTTCTTTTGCTTTGCCCTGGCTCCTTCTGAGTGGCAAGCCGGCTACAGGCCTGACTGTATGTGTGGGCACTGCTTGTTAAAACAACGTGGCAGAGTCCTTACCAAACTGACTATGCCTTCACCACCTGGCCTGCATTTCTGACAAAGCGATCCTAACATTAAAGGCAAAGATTCTTTTACAGTGTGGTTTTAAAATCCTTTTTAGGACATGGCACTTATGCACAGCTATCAAACAGTTACTTTATGTTCCATACATTCAGATTGTGTCATTTGTATTATTAAAAACATACCCGGTGGTGGCAGTTAGTAGGTTGCCAACCAACATCTGGCTCGTTATGAGCAAGCAGTAAGGCAGATTTTGGATGCTTTGTCACTGTTTTGACCACAGCGGAGCGCCCTGCCCCAGCCTGCGAAGAGAGCTTTGGGTTTTGGCTGCATCAGACCATCTGCTCCTGAGCAAGGCTTGCCAACCTGGTCCCTTCATGAGCCCAGGTTGGCTAAAACAGCACAGGCTGGCAATTGGGTTGTTGCACAAGGAAGGATTGCCGGGGCCCACAGTGTGCAGGCTCTGCTGGCGTGCGGTCATCACAAACAGACACGGCCCGTTCAGACATTTTGGCGAGCTGTTTCCAGCATAGGGAGTTTCAGCCGCTCCAAGAGATCCTTCAGTAGGCATCCTGTGTGTGCATGCGGACAAAAGCTACCCCTCTCCCTTCACACACGCACCACTGAAATGTAGGGTCACTGTGCAAGCACAGCCTCGATGCTGCTCTCTTGGACTCCAAATGCACATGGAAGTGGCACCCGGTAGATTCTCTGCCCAATTTAAAGTACTGATTCTGCCCATTCTTACATCTGAGAGTAAACAAACTGATCCAGCCACTGTGATTATGCATAACCAAAAGCAAGCAAGAAGCATGATTGCAACAAAGGGTGTCAGATGCTGTGGGAGCAAAGCACAACACAAAAAGAAGCCAGGAGGAGACCCAGAAGTGTTCACGAGCCTCGCTAGGCCTCCCCAAACAGAGCTGGTGACGGCAGTTTGGCCCCAGTGTGAAGGTGATTTTCCAAGCGTAGATGTGAGGCGAAGAAATGTAGTGCGGACCATGAACTTGCCCTACATTCCTGTCAGAACAGGCGAAAGGTACCGGTGACATCTCAGTCCCACTGCATCTCACGCTCTCATGGTCCATCTCAGGCAGGTTGGCACATCGGTGTTCAGGCAGCAGAGATTCTCAGCTTGGAGAGGCCGCCTTGGGCACTGTCCTTTTCAACACTGGTCTTCTCGGTCACAGAAGTTTATTGAAGAGCAGCACACTTCGCATAACTTAGGGTCTGCTACCTGCATTCCTCGGCCACTGCTTGCCTGCTTCTGCTCCTGAGGACTGTTCTGAGTGCTTGGGTGAAAAAGCTGGGCCCTTGGAGACATGTGCTCTGCTCTTCTCTGGATGCCCAGGCAGACTGGTTCTCCTGCAAACCATTCCAGATCCATCTCTGCCTAATGACTTGGAAAGGGAAATGGCTGCAGAGAACCAGCCGGAAGCATCCAGAAGTAAACTCCGAGGATTACCCGATCACAGGCATCTATTGCTACACACACAGGAGGCAGGAGGAGCGGTTCATGAATGAATCAAAGAAAGCTTCAGCCACAATATCCTCATCGCTTCATTTACACGCTGCAGTCGGGCCCGAGTCCTCAGCAACTGCACTTGCCGCTGCCTTTCTGGTCGCTGAGCTGCTCGGTGGAGCCGTGCCCGTTGGGCTGCACCACACCTTCCGGGAGCCAAGACTTGTCCACGCACCGCTCCATACGCTTCATGATGAGGTCCAGCAGCGTCTCGACGGCCTTGCTGACGTTCGCACCGTTGGCCGCACTTGTTTCAAAGTAGGGGAATCTGGAAATGAGGCATGTTAGAGGGCGTTAGGCTGCCGTGCTCCGGAGAGGCACCACCTTCGGGAAGCAGGAGGGCACGTGGCCAGGCCAGCGGCACCTGGGACCTGGCGCCCACAGGTGTTTTCTCCTAAGAACTCCTAATTTATTGGAAGCCGTCCCAAGACGTTTGTAGGGGACAGGATAGAAAAGCTTTTAATAAATAAGTAAGAACTAGGGGAGATTCTGGGCATGAAGCAGCTCTGCCACTACGGAAGGGAGCTTGTGCAGGGCTGCTGGAAACATCCCATCCTAAGGAAACAAAGGAACATCAGGCTCGGGGCCAGAGTCTCTGTTAAACTGCTCCAGGGACCTCCCATGGCCAGCGAGCGATGGCCGTTTCACGGCACGCTTGGCGGACTGCCAGCCACAGCCCTGGCTGTAGGGACGTTACTTGCCCGTGCTTCTCTGCAAGTTCCTTCGCATCCTCCTCTTTCACCACCCGATGCTCTTCCAGGTCGCTCTTGTTTCCGCACAGCACCACATCAGGGCTTTCGCAATAGGCATGCGTTTGCAGCTGGCCTGGCAATCAGGAAGGAGACGGGCAGGTTCGCTTGCCACAGCGATGGAGGAGGCAGAAGCCCGCCGGCCCCGGCCCCCTCTGCTTTCACCCATGGCCCCTCCTGAGCTGGACCTGGCCCCCCGGCGGACCAGCCGAGGCGTGGCACCATCACGCACGAGCACCCCGTCTCGGCGGGCTCCCCACAGGCACTGGGGTGGCCATCCTGCTGCAGGGCTGGGGTGTTCCGGGGACCCGTTGCCCCCCGGAGGGCCGCACCAAGGCAGATCGTCGGAGGGGAGGCACAGGGTGCGTGTGGGATGGGGTACACGGAGAGGCTTACTCATCCAGTTCCGGACATTGACGAAGCTTTGCTCGTTGGTCAGATCGAAGAGGAGGAGGAAGCCCATGGCGTCCCTGAAGAAGGCCGTGGTCAGACTTCGGAACCTGTGGAAGCGGGAGGCAGAAGGGTGCACCTCTCCAACAGCCGCCTGCAGAGGGCCTTCCGCGAGAGGGGCCCTCAGGACGGCCAGCACGGGCCCGCTCGCCCCGCCCTGCTGGCCTTGAGCTGAAAATCAGGCCAGCTCAGCAGAGTGGGCCACCAGGAGTAGCTGGAAGAGCGGGCCCCGAGGCCAAAGGGGGCTTTGGGGCCCCAGATGCTCCCGGAAAAGGCCTCCTTGAGCAGCACCCAGAGGCCAGGCTGAAGGTGGGACAGGGAGGAGGGTGGCCAGGCCCACGCCTCTGCAGGGACAGCAGGGTGGCCGCCCTTGGCCCTTTGCTGAGCAGGCCTCACCTCTCCTGCCCGGCGGTGTCCCACAGCTGCAAGTGTATCCTCTGCCCTCGACCGCTGACGCCATCCATCCCATTGGATCGGTACACCTGTAGAGCCACAGGCTGTGGTGAGCCGAGGGGCTTCCGGGCAGTCCCGGGCAAGCCCAGCCTGGCTGGATGAAGCCCCTCCCAGGGGCCTCGCAGGCGGGTGGCCAGCAGGCAGGAAACGGCGGGCACTTACCACCCTCTTTTCCCGGAAGTCGATGCCAACGGTTGTTATGAATTTGGAATTGAATTTGCCATCTGTGTACTGGTAGAGGAAGCTGGTCTTCCCTACGCCCGAGTCCCCCAGGGCTAAGAATTTGATGAGGTAGTCGTAGTCTCCATCAGTCATAGTGAGAACGTCAATGGCAACCTTGGGTCCGGGGAAGGGGTTGCGGGAAGGGATGGAGAAAAGCAACCTGCTGTAATCTTCACACCAGCCGTGCCGGTGCTCCATAACGCCCGCATTTCCCAGCATCCCAGGGGCCGTGAATACAGAGCTGACAGGGCTGCCCTCCTGGAGTCCAACCCGAGCAGCACTCCCCATGTGAGGCCTCCCCCAGGGGGTGTCAAGAAGCCAGCCCACTCCATCATGGGTGGAGTATGAAGGCATCCATAGCGCTCTCCCTGATCGGCCAAGGATTTCCCGGGCATGCTTCCCTTGTGCGTTGGGCCTGTGCTTGCTGGCTTGCTTCCCGCACCCACGCAGGAAAAGGGCAAGTGGAGAGGCCGCTGGTAGTGCTTCTGGAGGCTGCGCTGTGGGTGCTGTGAATACCTTGACACCTTCCCAGATAGACCTGGAAAAGATGCTCCTTTCACTTCTGGAGGTGCAGAGGGGCACTGCTGGGTAGTGTGTCCCCCACTCCCTGGAAAGATCTGGTAAAAACACGCAAAGCACCATGAAGTGCTGGTGTGCAGACAAGAGTGGGACACTCTCGGTGCAAGAGGTGCAACTCACGACTGGTGAGGTGCTTGTTGCCAGGCATCCTCACCCTAACCCGGGAAGCCCGGCTCACAGGAGAAGAATCCGTGCGCCCACCCCTTCTTGCTCACAGCCACCAATTCTGACTCCAAGGACTGAGACCTGTTTGACTGGCTGGACTTCAGGCTGGCCTCTGTGTTGGGCTTCTCACAACATGGGTGGATTCCCACAGGCCTCCTTCAGATTTCAGTTGCCTCTAGCAGCCAAGTTTTGCTCAGCCTCTGCACATCAGGTGTTTCCTAAAGGCACTTCTCTCCATCCTTTTTGGCTCAATAAATGCTCTCAAGGCCAGTCGCAACTGATCCAAAAAACCAGCAGAGTTTGACAGCAAAGATTTAGCATCCTACCCGAGGAAGGGGAAGATGGGACTTAAGAACAAGGGACACTGAAGTGAAATGAAAATAGGCCAATCAGAGGCCGATAAGAAGAGATGCTGGTGCTTCCTTGATTTTCTCTGTGGCAGACCTTGGGCGGAAACTGACCAACTGAAAGTATTTCCAAGGGAAGGTTGTCACAGACAAGGGAGGCAGCAAGATTTCTGTCCCCACAGGTTTCAGTTTCCTCCTCCTCCTCCCTGCACAAATATTTAGCAACCTCCACCCTTCTCAGCTGAACCACCCAGGAGTCCTTCCCTGAGAATGGCTATGAGCCCTGTGCTGGATTTCAAGGCATGCCAGGCACAGATCTCCCTTGCCTTTTTTAACCCTTGTGATACACGCCACTGGACAGGCCCAGGAAAAGCCACCTCCGCCTGCAGGGCTTGCACAGATGTGGGGGACGAAGAGGGACCACCAAGCTGGAGAACCGAGACTGCATGAAGCAGGGAGCTGGGATGGGCAGCGGACGAGATGAGATGGGAGGCAGCTTGGCCGGACAGGTGGGGTGTCTGGTGGCCTCTCACAAAGAGAGGAGGCCTGCCGCCCAGGAAGGAGGCCTTGCTGGCCCGCCAGAGGATGGACGTGCAGGCACAGCACCGTCCAGCTCCACGTGCGGCTGCTCTGAGTGGCCACACCGAGAGCAGACTTCAGGGCTTGGCAAGGCTCAGCGGCTGCGCCTTTCCTGTGAGTCCCCATCCTTTCTCCGCCAGTAAAGGGAGCTAAGCCCTGAGCTTGTCCTGGCGTTGTTGCTGCCCAGCTCATTTGCAACATAACAGACCCTTCCCGTTCCTATCAAGACCAAGATCTCTTCTCCCTGATGCCAGAGCGCAGGACACAGAATCATCAGTTCAAGCCACAGCAACCCAGGTTCAGGCTGGACATCAGGAAAAGCTTCCTCACTGTCAGAGCAACAGGGCAGGGGAATCCACTCCCTGGATAGGGTGGGGGGCTCCCCCAGGCTAGAGACACTCCGAAAGAAGCTGGGCAGCCCTCTGAGTGGGATGGTGCGACCCGGTGTCCTGCACCAGCAGCAGGCTCGACCCGGCGGCCTTCGTGGCCCCTTCCAACTCGACTCTTCCAAGACCCTGCGATTCCACGGCACCGGCCGCTCCTTCCCCCCCTCGGACGCCCCCCCCCCGCCGCCCCAGCGCAGAGTCCCCCCCGCAGCCAGCACTACCCAGTCCCGCAGGGCGGCTTCCGCGCAGGCGGCCACGCCGGCGCCCGGGACAGCATCCCGGGGAGGGACGGAC